AGTTGCAGTAGTGTGTCACGACACTGAAACAGGTGTTCATAGCAGGTGTACGTAATAAGGCTTGGCATAGAATGACAACAGTCAGTGGCGTAGAGCGATGACAGTTAGGAAAAAAGAAGAGGCGACTGCCAGCATCCATCGCTGAGCGGCAGGATAGGGATTAGGGGGCGCAAAACCAGGGCAAATGTTCTAAAAAGATTCTCAAGGAGAACAAAGGAGGGCGAACCACTGATCTGATTCACGTTAGATGCCCGATAACAGTAATATTCGCATCTCCACTTTCGAGTCCACTTAAATATAGGCTAAATCGTGGCGGACGAAGGGGTGTGTCAAGCGGGATGACTTTGGCGCGGTGGCTCAAACCTGTTCCCCACCAGCTCTCAGAGCGAGCAAGTGACCTGTATCGTAACGTTTTGTCGCATTATTCAACAACTGGCAAAGAACAAGTTTGGCGCCGTGGCACAATCATACTGCCTGCCAGGCCCTTATGCATACTGCCCTTTCATCCACAGCGAACTAGAGTACAATTATGAGACTCGAGGACTTCTCTCAGCATTTCGGAGGACAGGACCACACCAATATCATCGACGTGATCCACGAAACAACGTCAGTGAAAGTCTATGTGAAATTGAGCTCACATTCGCAAAAAGGGGTATCTATGAGCGCACGTGCACTTCAGCAATGTTACTCCTACGACTCTGGAGAGGAATGGAGCCACTAAACATCACGGTAAGACATCACCATGTTCTCGGGTAAAGGAAATCCTTGCCAAAGCATTACTTCGACAATCTTATGATGAATGAATTTGGAAAACGAACTACTCACCTGATCTACCATTTCCCCAACCAGCTTGAGTGGTAGACGGGAGCTTTCTTGATACACAACACACTCCCTCTGTTGAGCAATTAAGATGCACAGCCCAACAGCAATGTCACCGGTTAAAACAGCATCTCGTAATCGGGCAGATGCACGCTTATTTCGTGCGTTCGTGAAACTTCCTGCCTGAAACCAGGAAAACACTAATCCAAAACATCTAATTTGACGACTTTTCATAATTCGGTGTGCTGAAAAAAAACACGAGCTTTATCTATGAATTAAATCAGTACCTCTTGTCTCAACAGTTCGCCACCTCCCAACGCCTCCAACTGCTCAGCTGTGGCTCCAGCTACGCCCTCAATACACGCCATATTTTGGATGACTTCACGCAGAACAAGGAGATCAAAGCTGTAAAAAGTTGTTGCGAAAGAATGTTAACACAAAGACGGAAGAGATATATAAACAAGAATAAATGACGAGAAACCTTTTTTCATTCTTCAGTTGATTCATGACATAATTCAACATTCCTGCCAGTTCGACGTTGTACTTTTTGTAGACCGCACCCACCTGAGGAGACCGGGATGAAAACCGAATGATTTTTATAGCAAGTAATTGGAAGAAGATAAAGCAGGTGAGTTTCAGAACTCCCCGAAATTAAACAGCATCAAGCGTCCGATAATTAGCTAAAAAATTCTGGTATTGGTCAAGATGAGGTCATCACGAGACAGCGCAGAAGTCCAGAGTCACCGGTCGTAGGAGAGCAGGGCACATTCTCGCGCTGTGGGAAACTTTGTCAAAATAAGACGAAAATAAAATTTTCTGCTTCGGTACGAACTCCTTTCACAACCTTCATTCCCCCTCTTTCAACGTTTTCCAAAACTTCGCCGTTCCAAAGAGAGAGGTCTGCGGAGTGGATTCTCACCTAGCTGGGATGCGCGGGGTCATCGCGACCCCAGAACGCCATGCAGATGAGAGAAAGCAGGCAAATAGAAAACTGAACTAAGGGGCCGCGGTTCAAGTAGTCCGTGAGCCTAGTATTAGTAACCTTGTCCTCTCCTCACAAAATAAAAGGGGAGAGAGTATACAGCGCGTGTGAAACAGGGAAAATGACGAAGGAAATTCTCACAATAAACTTTCCAGGACCCAAACGCGGTTCCCTTGTGATGTGTCCGGGAAAGGAGGGCGTAGGGCCACAGAGACTGAGAATTAAACACATCTTTACACCTATAATGTGGCAATTGCACACTTGTCTACTTCCAAGAAGAGTACGATTTATTGCTAGTACAACCTGAACCAACCAAAGTTGCTAGAGCTTGCAGCCATGGACTTAGTTTCCCATCGAGCTTCAACTGCCTGTTATATCAGAGACTGGCAAGTTGTTATCAATAATGCAGGTCTAAAGAAAAAGAAATGAGCAACAACGACGAAATATGACAAAGGTGACTGGGAATACTCACAATGTCAAAATAGTAAAATTCCATGATTCAGTGAGAAATATTCAGGCTCTCGCACAATGGCTGTATCCAGAGTTTTCAAAAGTTTGGACCTTGAGATAACGCCACAAATTGTTGGCAAGGATCGCAGAGAGAGGGATTATATTGTTACATAAATCAGAACTGTATACCATCTCCGGCTGATACATGAATAACAAAATTCCTTTCGAGAGAAAACAACAGAAACATGGGAGAAAGATGAAATCAATCGCAGTGTAACGAGTTGATTGCCGTAAGTATTTGCCCAGCTCGTTTGCCACTGCAGTGCTTTCAAAAAATGGTCTGATGCAGCAAAGAATAAAAGGATAAGGTTTCCACTCCTGAATACTTCCTTTCAGAAATACGATCGCCCATTTAGAAGGGTAGTGGTTCTAGACTGCCTGTATCAGAGCGGCAGATCGGTCTCGGACACCACCTTGAGAAGAAACCTCGCGATTGCATATTGTGGATAATGGCGTTCTTTTGCAAACCTATGGTCGCTAAAAGACTCTGCAGAGAAGAAAGAAGTAAAAAAAACCATGGAGAAGAAATTAAGGACTCCGTGCGCCACTGTACGAGTTTTACGAATCAGCTCTTCATGCAGCAAAGCAATACCCTGCCCTCCTCCCACCCGTGTTTCACAACGAAAAACAGTGATGAGTGAGTGAAAAAATGGTGAAGAGACTGAACTCGTGATAGAAAATAACTTTAGAGTTTTGGTGGTCGGGACAGCTAGGGAAGAAGACCCCCTCATAAGAGCAGCAGCCATTCGTTACTGACTGTGAAGCCGCGAAGGCGAGAAAAATCTAGGAACGGTTTGCGCGAGGCCTGTCTTAAAATGGTAGAGAGGGAGAGGTGGAGAGCGGCGCTCTTCATCTACTCTATGCCGCATTAGGTGGAATCGAATAAAGAACAGGGAAAAGTAACCGCCATAAACAAATACTGATCTACGGCTGACTTTAGTATCCCGGTTAGGAATACTTTCGATATACCATATCAAAACTATTCCTAAACGGAAACTGACTTGACTGATTGTGCTACTGCTGGTGAGCATATCAGACGGAATGTAAGAAAGAACTCGATGACCTTTCTCATGTTGTTCATAATAAAATGAAGAGGCATGGATATTCTCAGCGAACAAACCACAAATGCCATAAGAAGCGGAGGCTATCCGAACACAAGAATGTAGTACCTGACTGAGCAAATAGTCGAACACGGTTATTGGGTGAATGTGACACAGCTTCCCCAACTGCCGACCCATCACTCGCACAGTCTCCTTCGACAGTCTCCTGATGTTTCAGATATCATAAATCCAAAAACCTATCTAGATATCTTTTGAGGAGAACGCCTTACTTACTTGAGCACGTATTTTGTCCTTCCTAGAACTTTGCCGCGTACGATATTCACTTCCGGATGGCGGACCGTGTTGGCAAACTTCCAACTGTAGAAATATGATGTATAAGCTCTATCTCACATTATAATGGCCTTTGGGCGTAGTTCGGCTTGGTGGGGGCATTTCTCCGACTCCCACCAATCATTGCCGATGATTTGCGCGGAGAACTGTGAACACTTGTGAAGCCAGCAATAGCGCGAGTTTCGTTTATACTTGAGAAGAGTCTACAGCTCTTACAACGATGAGACGTGGAATTAACAAAAAAAAACCCAGCGAAGGCGCAAAGTTTTCACCACTCCACCCTGAGCCGAACAGCGCCATTTCTCGTTCCTTATATGTATTAATACAAGCGATATTCTGCAAGACTCACTGCCCATAAAGACGATATCGCCATGTGTACGGGAAAAATTGAAGCAAGGTCCACACTTCTTCGGATAAACCACTGTTATACTCCGACAACGATAGACCAGGTAGAATGATCTCGTCCACAATATCCATCATAGTTCTTGCGACTGCAAAAAGGAAGAAAAAACTTGCTTCCAAACCCCGATCATTCGAATTCTATGAGACTTTGGAAGCAATATCCTACTACATATGAATCCGCTTAAGTTTGTCTAGTTGTGTGTGTGTGTTGTTGTGTTGTGATATGTTTGTGTGTTCTGCTATGTATACTCCTCATCATTACGGACTGTCGGGGCGGGTCAGTGCGGCTGCGTTTTCCGCGGTTCCAAAGTCTTTCTGCACCAGTTGTTGAAGCGATCAAATGACACAACAGCATTATATCCCCTTCGTATTACTCGTTTTCTACCACTTTTTGTCGCATACGCGCTTCAAAGAAAAGTCTGAGAACGGCTTCAAACAGTGTGCGCACTCCTTCTGGCCGACCACCTCCCCGACAGCTCCGTACCATGGAAGAGGAGTGTTATGCTGTTGTTTGACCGGAAATCATGAGCTTTCATTCAAAACAGGCGGACAGTGCCCTCGAATTGATAGTGTGAATGGTAGGGTAGGCCGGGCGCAGGAAACATTGTTGGTGTGGTGAAGCAAGTGGAGAGACAGGATAAGATACCATAAGGAGCCTTAGAAGGAGTGGGTTGCCTAATTCATAACACATGCCAGAGCAACGACCGAACGTTGGATCCAAGATGTGAGATAGGGGGCAGGATGATTGGGCAACATCATCGTGGGTAGAGGCAAGTGATAGCAGCTGATAAGATACTACAAGGAGCCTTAGAAGGAGTGGGTTGTCTAATTCATAACACCGGGCAGAGCAACGACCGGACGTCGGATCCAAGTTAGGTAAGATAAGGGCAGGCGGGGGCATGGACTGCGCGAAACCATTGGTGGGTGGCAGGAAGTGATAACAGTTGATAAGATACCATAAGGAGCCTTAGAAGGAGTGGGTTGCCTATTCATAACACCTGCCAGAGCAACGACCGAACGTTGGATCCAAGAAGTGAGATAGGGGGCAGGATGGGACATCATTGGTGGGTGGCAGGGAGTGATAACAGCTGATAAGATACCTTGAGGAGCTTCAGAAAAGGAGGATGACCTTGGTACCAACGTGAGCCCCAGCAGCAACGGGACGTCGGCTTTCCAAGAAGTACGGACGGCAAGAGAGGGCTTAAGGATGGGAAACATTAGGAAGCCTCACCATAAATTCAATGCACGAGTTGCTAAGCCACACTAAAGCAACTTTCTCGGCAGCAAGCGATTTCGGAGGTGTGTATATAGAGCTACATTTGTGGTTGCCGGGACTAATAAGTTGTGATATAGTGTACGGCAAGCCGTCAGTTATCCGTTACCACCTTTGATCCTGTTGCGATTCGATGTGGATGCACCGATTAGGACCCTTGGCAATCAATGCGGCAAAAGCCCTCAATGCTTTTCTATCCTTTTGCGTTTATGAGTAGGCCGCTAATACTTTCCGAGTTACGACCAAATATAGAAAAAACTTCACGAAGGTTGTTCGCCGTGTGGGAATATAAGGGCCACCAACATGCGGATATGTGAAAAAACTGCTCAACGGTAGTGTTATGATGTAAACACAATTCACTATGATTTCGATATAGTTACCTTTCGACCGCTAAGCCGTTCTATCGCCAACGAATGATGAGTGTTTATAGAAATCTGATAAACACATTGGCAATTGCTCATTTAAGAGGAGAAATATGGAAATATCATAAAATGAGCCGGATTGTGAAACATAGGAATTAGGCCAAGTGTTAGGGGGTGCAACACAGAAATCCGTTTTTCCTTAGATTCAGCTTGACACAGACTGAACCATTTCGCGCAGTACTGCGCTCAGCCAACACTAGTCTCCGAAGCATGATCATCGAAAATGAGTTGCCAGAACCGAGATAGCTTTCAGGCAGAAGTAGAAAAGTTGAAGATATTTTTGAAAAAAAAAAAAAAAAAAAAGTGGGAAAACTCTGAGTACGGTGTCCTGTCATTCAAAATGGAGGAAAGTCATCAAAACAATGGCACTAGAGACAAAAAACTGAAATGCTGGGACGCTATCGCAAGTAAAAAATTACCGGGTGAATCTCGTGGTACTCCATCGGATCCTTTCGGTTGCTCACGATAGAATGCGGTAATCAAACGCACCAGCCTCGTCATTATTATTGGGCGATACGCTAATCGTGGTCCAACATACCATAACATGGATGTCAGGGAGGCGAGACCACTCCATGAAGAGACCTTCAGGAAGTCGATATTAGATTTAACAAAAAATGTGAAATTGTAGATAAAATCACAAATATCACAATTAAAAAATTCTTTGAAAAAAATCACAACCTACTTGTTCTACTGATCTGGAGTTATCATTGCGTTTTACGTCCAAATCGAGGTCTTCGAGTCTATTTGAGCATTTCTCCCCGTAGAATTTCTCTATGGCTTTACCGATGAGATCAGAGATTGCATTGCTCACTCGTGTGCTAAAAATAAACTGAATGATAATAAGCTTTGTCATCACAACTCGCTCAGGATTCACGACACTGGAGAATCGGAAATCCGCGAGATTCAACAAGTCAGAGAATTCGCGAGGATACCAGTCGTGTATCAATCTAGAGAAACGGAAAGTTCGCAGAAAAGATGAGTGTCAATAGGTCCGCCTTTTTCAGTGTTCTGTTCGCTGGAGTCAATCAAAAGCATACGATCTTTTTCGCAATTTGCGAATGTCAAAACAAGTGTGTGCTTTGCTTTCATTCGGACAGTCTCCAATCAGGTTCCGCGCTGTCGTGAGCGTGATGGGTAACTGACATTGTAGTATGGAGATGCTTCGCAAGTCCTATATTACAGCCAGAACAATGGAAGGGCGTTGGAAGCGAGACTACGCGCGACATTTCCACAATGAGCAAAACGGACATGGTGGTGTTGTAGGGTGTCAAATCAACTGACTGCTGATTGATGCTACGCAGAACGATGGAGTACACTCCCGAATGCAAACTTCTTTATGCGTCCACGTTAAAGGTGGGTAAAGGCAACTAACGAAGGTATACCTCACGGAAAAGAGACAAACGTTATACCTTGCCTGTACAGCATAGTACTCAGGTAGACGATCGATTATAGTTTTCGCCAGAGACCATGCACCATCCTCTATCAGAGCGCAAACCAAACCAAGTTTTTGATTTGTCGACAGAATTGATTCCTGGAAAAACAAGCGTTTGTCCTAAAGAAGAATACTAAGCTCGTTATCGAAATGTCCATCACTTGATTGTGGGTTTGTAAATAACCTCTTTAAGCTCAGCAGCAAGCTTGGCATCATCAGCTTCCTGAATTGCAGCTACAGTGGCAAGCGATACTCCAACAATAGACTGGCCAGTGTCCATAACATCGACATTCGCATTGCGGGATGCATCAACAGGTATGTTTGACGCCAAAATAGTCTCTGCCTAAAGGAAAAAAGTAAACGGGGTATGAACAAAGTCTACGAAAAATAGAAAAATTTGTGCTTTCTCCATAGTAAAATCACGGAATCTTTAAGATACTCAAAAGCACATTCTTTGCTAGTAGCAAAAGTGGAGCATGAAAGCTCGTTCGACTGCTGCGGGCCCATTCCTTGACGACGAACACTCATCCGAGGATGATCCTTGCCATATGCGAGGTGAATGGGTCAACTGCTGCAGAAGCGGGTCACTTTCTCCTCTCAAGAGCACATGAGAAAGGGCCTGGCCTTGGCCTGTAGTGACACCCGGTTGCCATCTCCATGCTGCGCTCGTGCTCCCTAGCCACACGTATAACCGTGGACAATGTGCTACTTGCCTGCGCCTTTTCACTAGTAGTTGTTTTCTACCTCTGACTTCGTATTCACTGCGGGAATTCGGTATCGACGCAAGCGCTCACCTCGAGACTAGCGAGGGTGGAGGGAATGACCATTATTTTTTCCACGACGTTTGCGTGTGGCTTGGTGGCGAAGAAGCGCAGCATTGTAGGTGTCCATTCACTTCAAGGTGTGACGGACCGACTACCGTAACTAATGTAACACACCATGGCAAGCTGGAGGATCCACATCCGAGATGAGTGTAAAACGTGTTCATCAGATGACCAAAGAAGGAGTGCACTGAACAGTGAGCTAGCCCAGGTAATTCTACCCCCACGATCAGCCCCGAATGAGCTCTCAACTAGAGTTCCCAGTCTGACTCATTTGGCACATTACTTTATTTTTCTTCGAGCAAAGAAAGAATAGGTACATACAATCAAATAGGTGTTTGAATCTGACCTTTCTAGCCCTTTCTCCTGCTTTTGCAGCTCTCGTAGCCTTCTGATTGTGTTTCTTCGATACCCTCTGCTTTGGAACCGATCTTGGAATGAGTACGAATCCGAACGTTCGTAAACACAAAGGAACAGCATAACTTACAAATCCAGTGATTTTCATGAGATCAATCATGTCCTCACGAAGTAACGACGAAGTGACAACATATAATGAGAAGGGGGTCTCTTTCCCAGCAGCCTGGAAATAAGATAAGATTCAAATGCATTTTGATATTCGTGACTGGTCACAAAAATTGAGAGAACGCGGTAAATGTGATAATCGAGTGTAAGTAGCGAGCGTCTAGAAAACTTCTGGAGTACCGTTTAGCACGAGTTATTATGCTCACTATGAGCTTATCATTCAAAGGAAAAGGTGATAAGAATTGTAGATAGAAAATTGGAATTTTCTCATATAACTAATTGTAATTTAGTTTCCTTTCAGAGGGAAATACTATGCTTTGGATGTAAAGAAAACTTACGACTGTATAGGAAATGTATATTTAAATCCAAGCAAAGTGCATAGATAATCCTTGTTAGCTTTTATTTCCTTCAGCAAGGATATATAGAAGTCTTTTTGAGAAACACAACATTCATAGCATTCCAGTGCAATATCAATTACACGATTAGGGTCCAAATTGAACTGGCCTATAAATTGAGGGTGTTACAGAAGGTCGATTCGTAAATCCTTATCAAGAATTTTAGAATGAATAAACTATTAGGCACAGAAACACGAGCAATCATCGTTTTGGCTGGCAGACCGCCACCTGCATCCATAAGCTCCGTAATCAACTTAGCATAGCCTTCGCTTTCTTCACGCAATAAATTATACTTGGCTTGCTTATAACTGAAAATACGGAGCACCATCAAATTTTCCAAGAATGGCCAAACTCAGGGCTCTGTAAGAGGCTCATCAGGGACGTCACTACAGGTAATGGTGCCTTTTCAGGAAATAGTCAGTCTGTTGCATGGTGCAGGGGACCGAGAGTGGGCCCACAATAGGTTTCATTTTTTTTTCTGTGCGTCTCCAGGAACGGTAAAAAAGAGTCTTGTTGAGAAAGGGCTATTCAAACCACCTTGTCGAGCTCTGTTCTACTTGTTGTTGGCATAGTTTATGAGAAGTCAGAGGTTATTCGATACCCTGATCACAAGTATGCCACTCACTTTTCACGTGGCGCAAGGCGTCGCCACTTTGGTGTGATATTTTTCTGCTCGCACTCGTTGTCAACGAGCATACAGTTCTTTTCAGCGTCGTATTGCCGCCAAAAGCTTCGGGACCAGGAATAAGTGTCAATCATGAATAGAGCCTCGAATCAACCCTGTATAAGAGAGTTCGGCGGAGAAAGAACATCCGAGCTTTCTGGGAGTCAAAGAACCGACCATTTCGTTGGCAGTGACACTCGCACTCCCACATCACCGTAACTGTATATGTCAGCCAGCGGCAATGAATCGATGAAAATTATGCATTCTCTGGATAAACACTCTATCTATTGACTTTTATTCGAATGAACCCCTTTCTCAAATGCTCTGCATACTCAACACTACTGTAAAACAGAGCACAATAATATGGTTCGAATCACCCTTTGAGAAAATTTTTCACTCCCTTTCTGGCGGTTCCGGAAACGCATAGCAAAAATCAAGCACATTCGCTGTCGTGGTCCACGTATGGACCCCTACAACATGCAACAAACTGTTTCTAAAAAGCGCGACGACCTGAACGACCTCCCTTACTGGGCCTTGAACAAGGAGCGTAATGTCATTATCTATGCCAAATTAGCTTACTTAGGAAAAAAGAAAAACAGAGCTACTTACTACAAACGAGTTTTGAGTCGCACCAGTTGTTGTTTGTTTGCAGGTAAGGATGCATCAAGCACATCAAGCTCTATGCGTAGTATATCAGCAGGGATAATCTAAAGGTAAATTAGATAGAACTGGAGAAACTTTTGTAACATAACACCGAATTTCATGAAGAAGACTCCTAAATGTAAAAAAAATATATGAACATTCCCAAGTGCGCTCATTTCTTCTGCGATGCGCACTAAGCATATCTTCATCGCATTCAGAATCGTAGTGCATATGATGGTGGGGAACTGCCGGCAGATGTACAAGTCAGGTTCCATCCTCACAGACATCTGGTAGCCATATGCACTCTTCCAAGAAGGGGTTAGATAGCTTGCTCACCTAGGGCGAGAGCGGGAGGAGGATCTGATCACCAGATCGTGAGCGGCTAAGCGTGCCGCTTGCCACTACACTACCTCTGCCTTCCAGGGAATAGTGCCCAGGAAATTAAATGAAAGAAAACTGTCAAACTGACAACTCAAGTTGCAATCGATTTCCTGTAAAGCCAGAAAGCGAACCATTCAATGGGAAGAAGCTAAGTTGAATTTAACTAGAAAATGCAGCAGGGAAGTGCTGTTACTAGAATGTTATTATTAATCAAACAGCTGTAAGGTGAAATAAGACTATGTTCGCAAGCCAAATGGGAAAACTATGACTGATGCAAAGCAAAGCGTACCGCAGGCTAACCACGCAGCCCTATTGCCCCCCCCCCCCCCTCCTCCACTCTTTTCGTCCCCTTGTGATCCATTTCTCCATTGTTGCAGGCAATCTTTCCCAACAAGTATGCTACCGCTACCCTCGCACATCCTGGAGAGATGTGCGACTAACTAGACACAGAGTAGCAATTGCACAAAAATTACAGGCTCCGATTCCAAAAGTGTTCCGCACGTAAAGCCTCTACCTTGCTGCTCCATATAAAGGACACAACGTGGTGTAACCTTTTCAGGAGTGTACAACAGTAAATACT